CTTTCTCCTACTTTTTGGTTTTGATAAGGGAACGCAAAAAAAAGGGCAAAAGGGTACTACCGGGGCACCAACCCTAAACCCTCAACCCTAAACCCCTAAACCCTAACCCTAAACCTTAAACCTTAAACCCTAAGCATCGATGGGCACTGAGAGAAGCCCAGGGCCTTCTCTTCGGCTTTGATGGCCTCAAGAGGCCGCCACAAGTTAGGGTTTAGGGTTTAGGGTTTAGGGTTTAGGGTTTAGGGTTTAGGGTTTAGGGAGCTGTTTTTTTTGTAGGGGCCTAAATAGGATTTAGGATTTAGGGCTTGGGGTTTAGGCCTAAATAAGTACCTACACTACTTGTTTTATTGAAGGGGGGGTTCCTTATAGTAGTTATAATGGCCCAAAAATCAAAAAACCCTAAACCCTAAACCCTAAACCCTAAACCCTAAACCCTAAACCCTATTCTAGTTGTTAAGGCCCCCCCTTTTTTTAAGGCTCCTCAGGGCTCCTTTCGGAGCCCTCCTCCAGGGGCTTCTTTCAAGGCTTCTATGGGGGCCCCCTTAAGGGTTCCTGTAAGGAGTGTCAGGAGGACTTGGTGTAGGGACTTAGGTGTTTTTTTTGGGGGGTTTAGGGTTTAGAGTTGATTAGTTTAAGGCTTAGGGTTTAGAACGCGATCCAAACATAAGCTTTTGAGCGGCGTATCCCTGATGCACGCCCTGCTTAGAGCGAGGGTTGCGGGATATGATTTTTCAACTTTCTGGTGTTTGATTAACTGCATTCTGCATTCTTGGATCCAAAGAATCCAACGCTCCAAGGACAAAGAACACCTCGAATTCCAAACCGGCAAAACTATCTTTAAGTACCGAACCCACTCCAAAACAATGCAAGAAGTGCCCTCAACTCTGAATCCCAAACCTTAAGCTAAACCCAAAATATCTAAAACCCTCCCTCTGTGACGAGGCCGCTGCGATAGGCGGCTGTGGCTTCTGCGGCGGCACCGGCACCGCCGCAGGTGCACGCCCCGGCGGCTGCGGCTTCGGTGGCTGCGACTTCGGTGGCTGCGACTTCGGTGGCTGCGACTTCGGCGGCTCTTGCCTTGTTTAGGGTTTAGGGTTTAGGGTTTAGGGTTTAGGGTTTAGGGTTTAGAGATTAAGGTATCCATACTGTGATTTCCTTACATAAGTCCTGAAAACGGTAAGTTCTTCCGGGTCCAGGTAGGGTTTAAGGTTTAGGGTTTAGTTTTCGTGGGGCTCTACAGACTATAGAGTGCCGAGGGATTGGACCGGGTTGTACAGGGCTTCATTCAAAATTTGAAGCTGAAAGATGCAGGCCGATAGACATCAGTACGAAACGTCAAGGTATTCGGTGTCATACCGGTTCATCCCACACTGGGACTCGTCGAAAATCCAAGGAAACTATGACGACCTTTGCAGACCCCCTGTTTGAGAGAGTTGTTCGGGGGCTGTCAGGTTTAGGACAGGGCCGTCCTGAAGATTGTGAAGATAAGACAAGGCCCTTTTACCCTAAACCTTAAAAAAGGAAGACTTAGAGGTCGCCGTAAACCCTAAACCCTAAAGCCGTAGCCCTTAAAAAAGGAAGACTTCGAGGTAGGAGCTCATGGTTGAGGAACTTCGCCTAAACCCTAAACCCCGCATGTTCTTCTGATGCCCTGCGTTTTTCTCGGCATTTTGGGGTTTGTGTGCCTGGGATGAGGAGTTTAGGGACTTCGGTTTGAGGCGTTAGGGCTTGGGGCTTAGGGTTTGGGGTGTAGGGATTAGAACTCGCGGATTCAACAGAAGGGCCTGAATGAGTGGACGACATGTTGCACCATACTAGGGGCTAAAAACTGATAACCGATAAACGAAAACACGACACCGGAAGAAAAAAACGACGACTATTCGCGAAGTTTTCCGACCCAAATGTCAGGGTTCGGGGATGTGGAAGATCCGAGCCACTTGGTCGCAACACGCGGCTTCGACATCTCCACGCGAACCTCTCCGAGGCTTCTGCACTTACGGCCGCCGTCCCAAAAAACGTAGGAGCTTCTAAAATCACCTATATAAGCATAAACTTAAGGCAACGTCCCTGCAGGGTGTAGGCTTCAATAGAAGATGTGCTTTTTGTCAGGCCCCTTATAGCGATCTTGTTAGTAACACCTATGGTGCTCCGCTAATCGTTTTAGGACTTAGGCTTTTAGCCCTTCCCGCAGGAGGTCTCTGCACAGCCTGGGAGAGCTCTGCGCCACTGTTTGCGGCGATACCTAGAATCGACCTAGAAGGTTTAGGGGTTTTAGGGTTTAGGGTTTAGGGCCCTACACCCGGAACCCGGAAACAGAAACCCCAAACCCCGAACCCACTAACCCTAAACCACCAAACCCCTAAACCCCTAAACCCCTAAAACTCTAAACCGTGAACCCCAAACCCGCTTTCGGCACTTGAATGATATGGGGCCCTGTATCAGATAGTACAGACGGCCTGTGGAAACCCACAACTGCAGCCTCCAAAATCCAAAGCAAAACTGAACAGTTTCAATCCTATGGACGCATGATGGAACCCTTATGGAGCAGTTTAAGAAACCCTGAAAGGAAGCCCTATAAATCCCTAAACCCTAAACCCTGAACCCCAAACCCTAAACCCTTAAAGGCATAGTTCAAGGCTTCAAGACGAATCCGAAGCCCCAATTCGAAGCCCAACTCTTGCACCAGGCGGTGGTAGAATCGAGCCAAAGCCTTGTGAAAGCTCTAGGCCGCTGAATTGCCCTAAAACCCCCAACCCTAAAAAAAAAACCTTTGGAGCCTTCCTGGTAACCCTTATTAGGGTTTAGGCGTTTAGGGTTTAAGGTTTTTTTTTTTTAACGGACCTTTTCTCACCGCAGCAAGAAGTCAGAACGACTAGGTCGACCCCTGCGTCAGCATCTCCACCACGAACTCCGAAACGAACATGTAGTACTCGCAGACATTCACCCTCTCTGTTCACCACCGGACTGGACGTTCTCCTTCTGCACTGCTCCCTGTGCCTCCGCCTGGGCTTCACGGTACTCGTACTCCTTGGCAAGGTCAGCCGCAAACGCCTCGCACTCCGCCAGCTCGACCGAATTCACCGTGTCATCTCCACCATCACATCCCCAAGGGATCGTCACCTGATTGTCCACATCGGTCCCAGCCTCGACCATCCCACCACGGTCCATCTCAGTCGTCACGTTCACCGTACTGCTGTCGGCCCCGTTGCCCATCTGGGGTCGGGTCGTCGTCGTTCCGCACCGGCTGTGGCCCGACTCCATGTCATTCTGTGGCACCCCCAGTCTGGCAGGAGGGACCGTGCCACAGACCTTGACCCGCACCTCCAACTCATAGCACAATTCCCAGTCGACGTGCAGGTGAGAGATAGCCGGGGTGGGGCTCTCCGGAAGAGGCACTCGCTCCTCGAGGTATCACTGCCACTTCCACTCGCCTCTTTCTTCGAGGAGGAACTCCTTGCAGCTCATCCCACATGGCCCAATCATCCCACTCACGACACGCCTTCGACTTGGCTGCTTCGGCTGCACGTGCGAGCTGGTCTTCAAGCTTTTTCTCCTGCATGTACTCCTCCCAACGTTGCTTGTCCTTCTCGAACTCAATCTCCTCCTGTCGGTCATGCCATTCCTCTTGTTCCGCTCTCCCAGGAGTGGATGAGGAGCTTGGTCCAGGCGACTCAACCTCCGTCGTCTGCTCCATCGTGGTCTGCGTCACTCCACTCTTCGTCGTCACATCATTCTGAAGAGCAGCATGAAGGTCGGACCACCACGCCTCCACGAACTCCAGGTCGTCTCCGAGAGGAGGGCTTCGCATTCCCCCACCAGCTCATGGGCTCCATCACGGTTTGTCTCCAGACTGTAGGTCCTGACAAGACGTTCAAGTAGGGCTCTGGCTCGCCGATGTGCGCCCCCTTGCCCCGTAGAGGAGAGGAGGAAGCTGAGCCCTTGTACCACCATCCTCGTCCGACTCTGGTCACCCATGAGCCGCTTCAGGGTGGTTTGCATAGTGGCCACCTCATCGGACGAACCCTCATGTCGATTGCGGGGTGGTGGCGGGCGCCTGTGCGGAGATCTGGTTCGTGAGTGTCTCTTGCGCTCCTCTCGCTCGGCTCGTAGCTTGGCGTCAGAGAGGTGGTGAGGTCCGCGGTAGCCTATGTCCTCCAGCTCGCGCTCTTCTGCTCGATGGGTCATGGCCACCGGGCAGACTTTCCAATACCACTGCTCTTTGATCCTGTGCAGGATCCAATCTATCAAGTCGCCGATGTCCTCATCCGTGGGGGGCCCCTTCCAATCATGGAGAGGCGGCTGCACATGGTCGGAGTGAAGCCACATGGCTCTCAAGAGCCCATTTGTGTAGAGCAGGTTTTCCTCCGTCATTCTTTCATCTCCACGGCCACGTAGTCCCTGTTCCAGGAGGTTCCCGAGCTTGTGCTTGTCCACCCCTCTGTCCATAAGGGATCGCAGTTCATCAACCGCGTCCCACCACCATGTCGGTGCCGGTTGGTCCGTCCAAGGCTCATCAAAACTTGACCCCATCATCGGGAGGAGAAGTACGCCCTTGGTCGGCCAAGTCAGGGACAGCAGTGAGGCCGGCTCTTGCTCCTCTTCATCTTCATTGTGCTGGTCTTCCTCGTCCGTGCGGTTGCTTGCTTCCAGGCTGTCACCTGCAGGTGCCGGCGGGAGAAGCGCTCCCATTCCAGAGGTCGACGAGGAGGAGGCCACGGTTCGATCACCTTCCAGACCCAGGAGATCCAAGCGCCCGGCGCGGGCCAGGTCATCCCTCGTTGAATAGGATCCATTAGGCCAAATGTATGCCGCGTGAAATATCCCGAACGGCAATCTTTCGCCCGGTGGTGCTCCCAGGGAGTTTCCGCCAAGGCGTCGAAAAATGGTGTCTGTCCATTCCTCACAAGCCACCGGGCGAACCTCTTCACCAGGGTGTGCCTCCATTCGGCCTGCTTCCAGTACTCCCGGCAGATGCCTCCGGGCCTCCGCCTGAACGTTCTCGTCGTTGCACTCCCTGAGTAGGTCACGAAGTCGGAGCATAGCCATACGTGCCCTTCCCTGTCCTCTAAGGAATCTGAGCCCAGCTCTGGCAGTCCGACACCACTCGGGCTCTCGCTCGGTGCGGCTGCTTGAGGTTGCCTCCTGCATGAAGGTCGCCTGGTCGTGCTCGTCCGAGGAGTCCGGCTTCGCCCGGGTCGTCACCTTGGGGTCTGTCATCGCCTGGTCGTGCTCGGTCAGAGGGTTCTTCTTCTTCCGGGTCGTCACCTGGTGGTTGGTCTGCATCTGGGCAAGGTAGGAAAGGTCGCCGTCGTTCCCTCGGTTATTCTGCGGGTCGTGCTCGGTCGGCGAGTCCGTCTTCTTCCGAATCGTCACCTGGAAGTCAGTTGTGGTCTGTGCGAGGTGGGTCTTGTTGGTTTCGTCTCCTTGGTCATCAGGTATCGTTCCCTGATGCGCGAGTTGTTCCTTCTCCCGGGTCGTCACCTTGGGGTTTGTCATCGCCTGGTCGTGCTCGGTCGGGGAGTCCAGCTTCTTCTGGGTCGTCACCTGGTGGTCGGCCTTCAACTGGGTCAGGCAGGCCTGGTCGCCGCTGTCCTCGTGGTCACTCTGCAGGTTGTGCTCGGTCGGGGAGTCCGTCATCTCCCGAATCGTCACCTTGAAGTCAGCTTTGGTCTGTGCGAGGTGGGCCTTGTTGGTTTCGTCTTCGTGTCGTTCTCTGGTGTACGGGCTGTTGTTTATTACGTCCCAAGGAGGTTTGCAGCCACAGCTCCAGGTCACTGTCCTCTTCATCTAAGACCACCTCCACCGTGTCATCCGAGGTGCTTCCTCGTCTCGCACCGGAGGCTGTGCCATCTCCTCCCCTGGAGCTCTCTGCAGGCCTGTCTCTCTCTCCTTCACGGGCATCCGACACAGGTGCCCTTGGTCCACCCGACACCTCACGGTTGGAGCTTCCACTCGGCGGCAGCCCCGAGCCTGTGCCACGATCGCCCCTCTCCCTTCTTCCGGCCGAGGTACCTGAGGAAGCACCTGGTTCCGCGTCGTTCGAGGAACTAGTGATCAGCTGGACGAGCTCGTCCTGAATGAGGTTAAGGCACTGTGGTAGGCTCCTAAGCATCAGTCCACGGGCACGATCGCCCATTCTGCCCACGGCCGTCACCACCGAATGCTGGACGTCCTCCGGTACCATTGTTGGGAGGCTTCCCCCTGTGGTATCAAGAAATCCCAGAAGTTCAATGGTTTAGGGTTTAGGGTTTAGGGTCCCTGAAAATCTCCAACACCTGAAACCCAAAGCCCTTCCCCTCTCAGCCCTTCGCGAAAGCCCTTCTGGAAACTCCTTATCGAGCCTTCAAAGGAGCCTCAAATACACCTTGAAGCCCGAAACCCTGAGCCTCAATGTAGGGGCCTTGATAGTTAGAATATAGGGTTTTGGTGTATATTATGTCTGTAATTATAACAAGGAGCACCCAAAATAGTAGAGGTAATCATTGAGGCCCCTAGTTACCCCTCTCAGCCTGCCTTCTGCAGCTCCGTGCTAAGGCTCGCCTGCTCACGAAGGCAGAGATGTTGGTTTGGGGCTTCAGGGTTTAGGGTTTAGGGTTTAAGGGTCTAGGTGCGGGGTTATATGCTGGGCCTTGTGTGAGGTCTTCAGTTTAACTTTAAGGTTTAGTTGGGGCTTGAAACCTCTCTTGCGGTTCGCTCTTGAATTTTGTAAACAACTAAGATGGATTGCCGCATTTTGGGTTGCCTGAAGGAGTCAGTAGAGGCCTCTTCAGGGCCCTTTTTTCACCCTACGCAAACCCTCACGGATGGCCCACTTTGTGCCCCCTCGTAGCACCGAAAAGCTCGAACCCTGAAACCCTAAACCCTAAATCCTACACCCTAAACCCTAAATCCTAAACCCCGAACCAAAAACCTTAAACCCAAACCAAAAACCCTAAACCCTAAACCCCAAACCCTAAACCCCAAAACCCCCAAACCCCCTAAACCCTAAACCCCAAACCCTCAAACCATAAACCCCAAACCCTAAAACCATAAACCCCAAACCCTAAACTCCCTAAACCCTGAAAAGCTTTCTAGGAAGTCTGTGAGACCCCTGGCTCCAACACCCCCCCAACCTGCACCGCTCGAAGCCGGGGGAGCAGCGGCAGCAGGGAGTTCAAGACTGGCTTAGAGGAAACCTGGCATCTTTAGCTTTAGGGCTTATAGGTTTTAGGGTTTAGGGTTTAGGGTTTAGGGTTTAGGGTTTAGGGTTTAGGGTTTAGGGCTTTGGTGCATAGAGGAAACCTGGCATCTTTAGAGGGGCTTCGGTGCTTAGGGCTTTAGGGGCATCTTTCCCCATAAACCCTAAACCCTAAACTCTAAACCCTATAAGCCCTAAACCCCAAACCTTAAACCCTATAAGCCCTAAACCCTAAACACCACACTTTGGTGTGTAGGGCTTGGGGTTTAACTCTGGTTCAGGCTTCACGGTGCAGGGGCTGCGGGTTTGGGCTGAATTCGGGCTTAACGCTCCTTCTTCGAACTCTATCTAGGGTTTACTTAGGGTTTGGGGTTTAGGGTTTAGGGTTTAGGGCTTTAGGGGTTTAGGGGTTTAGGGTTTATCTAGGTGGTTTGTTTATATAGAGGTTATGCAAGCAACACAATATAGGTGATGGGGTGACCAGTACTATTTCCCCAAAAAAAGCACAAGTTCCATATCTGTGGCCCAGACCAAGGACCATGTTATCGTGAAAATATACAGGTCGTTCTCTAAATTGGGATCCCTTTTCGTATCCCAGAAAGAGTGCATGGCTCTTTAGCTCGGGACCGGAAAAGGAGTCCTCAAATGAGAGAACCTTCAGAGATTTTTACGGAATCATTTTCCTAACTCTACATCGTTGGCTCAGATTTGGAGTGCTCCAACTACTACACTGTTTGAAGACTTATGTTAAATAATACCCTACTTACTAAGTCCCATGATCCTTTAGGTACGGCAAATTTCCCTGCACCACCGTCAACTGTACCATTGTTCCACCCCAAAACACATGGGAGGGTGATCTGGGCTCTCGTTGGAGAGGCTTGTTCACCTGCCCTGAAAAAAACAGCATAGTTTGCACCATACACCCATTCTAGTCATTGTGGTAGCTGAACCAAGCTCCTTGACAGGAACCCAGCGGAGGGAGCAACAGTTTATGTTGCAGAAAAGCTTTGGTTGTAGCCAAGTTTGGGCTGCACTGAGAAAGCCCGACAGAGTGTGTGCCCTTGGTAACGCGTATAATATCAACCCATAAAACACCCCAGGGGGGAAGGATGCTATGGCCAAGATCTCTAAGTCCTCGGGGTGAGGAAGCTCAAGAATGCTCCCTCGTCTGGATTTTCATCCTAAGGCCTTCAACATCCAGATCTGACGGCTTCTTAGATTCTTGAAACGAGGGATTCCTTTGAAGGGGAGACCCCATATAAAGGGGTCGAAATAGTTAATAGTTAGATGGGGCTTTGGGTATGTGTGTATATATATAAATATATCTGTATATATGCATGTACACTGGAATAAAGGTTGGTAATTCAGGCTTCTATATATTATCAAAATCTTCTGAGCGCAGAAAGGGAGCGCAGGGTCTATTTGGAGGCTTCGAGGTTAAGGGTTCAGGGTCTAAGGCTTGGGGCGTAGGGTCCAAATATCAAAATCGTAAGGGGTTTAGGGTTTGGGGTCTGGGGTTTAGGGTTTGGGCTCCTTCGGCCGAATTCGCGCAACAGAGCAACCGCGACGCAGTAAAGCTTAAGCTTAAGGCTGTACAGACACTGTTGTCCATCTATTCCTAAACCCTAAACCCTAAACCCTAAACCCTAAACCCTAAACCCTAAACCCTAAACCCCTTTCGTACATCCTAGCCTTTACAGTGTCTTGGGACACAGAAGATGGGAACAAGTGGAGGGAGATTGGCAGGTGAAAAATGGAGCAGGTAGGATTCCGGTTGAATGCATGGGAGGCTGCAGGGGGGGGGGGGGTACCAAAAATGGAGCAGATGGGACTGCGTGGGCTTTTGAGTTGAGGCTTTAGGTTTTGCTGTCGAGGAGGGGAAAGAACAGAGAGAATGGATGCAGAGGGTTAGGGTGGCAGAGGGTTAGGGCGGCAGGAAAGACATGGAGTCTATAGGCAGGAGGCGTCGGGGTTTTCGGATAGTGCTTTCGGCTGGAGTGCTCGGGGAGGCAAAAACTCAGGCAGGTGGACGTATTCGGGCTTTGGATCTAACCTTTTTCTACTGTCATGCACCTTGAGTTTTTGTTGGAGATACCAAGCACCAAAGCAAACCAGAGTCACAAAATGAATTTCAAGACATCTATACCCCATCTCGTGTTCGGATCTCCTCACAAGCAGGTGTATTCCCACGGGCCCCTCTTTCAGATTAGAACAACCCTCACAAGGGTAATGTAGGGGCCTTAACAATCAGAATAGGGTTTTGGGGTATGTTATACTATATTTATAATAAGGAGCAACCTAAATAGTATAGGCAATTCTTATATAAGGTCCCTACATTAGTTTTCTCGCTGCGCCCAGGCTTGGCTGGTTCTTGGGGAAGCCCCGAAACCAGGACCCTTCCCTCCCGACGCATTTGCGGAAAAGTGATCCCCAAAGACAGAGACAACATAACATCCGGTTTAGGGTTTAGGGTATACTTGTTCTGGCTTCTATATAGAGCTGGTATAACGATAGATTCAGGCTTCTATATTCAGCTCGCTGCGCTAGATCCTGGGCGCGGTCGCTACAAACGTGGCCCGAACCTTTCACTTTGAACTGGATTTCAGCATTTTTCCCGGTGGGGTTTCTGGCGCGGAAGGGGGCTGCTGCACCGTGCACGGATCTCTGAGAAAATGAAAATACGCAGAGTCTTCTTTTTCAGTTCACCGGCTCTACGGTGGCGATCCGGCAATCAAAAAAGGTAGCAAACATCAAGAACTGCAAAAAGCAAGTGTTTTTGGCCGGCTGCCAGGTTTCAGGGGTCTGAGTTGGGGGGGGTGGGGGGTGGGGTAAAAGGAACCCCTAAATCATTAAATTCGTAATTGGAAATCGTGTTTTGATTCTGAACAATCCAACCTGGAATCCTGAACTGCCCCATAAAGCTTTACGATCGTTTACAGCGAGTTTAACTCGCCCTTTCACCCCCAAACCGCTAGACTGTTGACCCCTCAGGTCCTAAAGCCCCAAACCGTAGCCTTGTCGGAGTCCAGAAATCACAGGTTGGTTTTTGTTGAGCCCGAAACCCAAATTCTCAACGCCAGATCCCACTCTTATGTTTCAGTGCAGAAGTTTGTGCTTGGAGCCCCGGTGGCTGTAACAGCGCTTTTCCATGACATGGCGATATTGCTTTTCTGATGGCTTTGGGGATCTGATACAAGGGCTCTAACACTTAGAATAGCGGCTAGGGGGTCCCTTCTATACTCCTGTTATAATGAGGAGCCCCCAGAAATAGTAATACAAGTTCTTCAGGCCCCTACATCGGGCAGTTTGAGACCGGGCCTGAAGCCATCACCTCGGCGTTCAGGCTTGGGATTTAAAGCACACTGACGTGTGAGAAAAATCTGCTGCAGGTTTGAAAACCGGGGAGGGATGTGGGTGGTTGTCAAAATTAGGATCCCTTTTGGGGTACCCTAAATAATAGGTGCCGTATTATCACAAGGACCCAAAAAGGGACCCTAATTTTGACAAC